AAATGGTATGCAAGTATGTAAATGCATGTACACCTGTGGCCTATGTGTGCGCACTCGTGCGTGCGCATGTAGTAGTCCACGTGCGCCTCCTTGCGTCTTATAGTATTTTTATGTTATGTAATAGGTCGAGTCCTTACTCTATTTCCTAACAGGAATAGCTGCCTTGTTAGCATTTGTAGCTCTATCTGTGAGGTCCATACTCAATTCCCTTCCCAGTTGGTCGGGAATTTGGACCCTCTCACCTTTCTTTTTCTTTTAGTGGCCGAAAGTTTAGTCACCCCGAACAATTTGATCTATTGTGTCCTTCAACTTTTATAATATTTCATATTTTTACAAACTAAATTATTAAATATATTTAAAAACATTTCTTTCATTTCTACATATTACGTTATTAAATATTAAATGTCATGATTTTTTTTTTCAATAAAAAAATTTAAAGTATAAAAATACATGTATAACTAACAAATATATATTTATTTATTTAAAGCCTAAAAAATATTAAAATCAGCTACACTATTTTTTTAATTTATTTTTACATGTTATGTAATTAACATAATTTATAATACTTCACAAAATAATTTCAACATAATAAAATAATCACGGTCACAAATATTATGAAATTAATTATATTTTTAAATTTAAAACTTGTAACTAACCTTTAGTGAAAATATTAATCTGGATACAAATTATGAGATTAGATGAACATCACCCTACAAGATAAATTTACAATATATATTAAAAATAAATAAAATTAAACCACATATCAAGAACAAAAACAAAATATAATATAACCAATAATAATAAAAATATAATATAAAACACACATAAAGCAATCATATTTTAATAAAGTATATTATTAAATTTTGCAAACAATATTTATTTTTTTTCACAAATTTTAAAATTAAACTAATATACAATATTTTTCACACAAATTTACTTAATAATAAAATAATGAATGTCAAAAATATTTAATTCATAAAATATAAACTATAAAATAACAAGTATAACTAAAATACATATATCATAATTAATCTTTCATTTAAATAATAAAAATATACATAACATTTAAATAATCACAAAATTTATTTATTTCTACAAATTAAATAATTAACTATACATATAATATTTAACCAAATAATTCTTAAATAATTAAAAACTCACATACATATAATATTTATACAAAATAAATATTATCACTAACCTTCAACTAACTTATGCAAAGAAAAATGTTCTAATGAAGAGAGAAGAACAACCTAACAATAGTAATAACAAGAGAAGAAGAACCTAACATAATAGAATGTGCATGACACCCCTATGCTAGCTTGGTAGAAACTATTTACTTCGATAAATAGTTTTTTAATTTTTAATTTTTGGTATTATTTATTTTTTTAAAATTTATTTTGACTGAAAAGCCTATTGAACTAAGAGTCAGTAAAGGTCCATCAAAGAAATTTTACATGTAACGCTAATGGATTTCCTTGAACATGTATACCCACAAAAGTAGAATTTTATGGTCTTAGGAAGTGTCGAACTTGTGTTATAGAAAATGTAAGCTTGTACTGAATCCTATATCATTTGTGTCAATCCATGATAACGAGATATGAAACATTTATTTATAGACATTGTGTATCTATTATTTATTTACTTTTTTATGATACAAAGGTGATTTAAATTATGAGGATCACTACCGTCGAGACAAATTTCATGGTTTAAACAACATTTTCAAAGATACTTATAAAATATCTAATAACAAAGTTCTCACATTAGGAGTGAAAACCCAACTAACATCTTTGTGAGAAATGAACCTGCTCTTTACTCACTGAACTAACCAGTGAAATTGATAATGCTGGTATGTCTTTAGATGAGAACCTACACCATGCCAATGCCCGAGCTCAAAGAATAGAAGAGTTTACAAAACATATTTATGTATTTTTTCTTAACATGTTAAATGTTGCATGATCATGTATTTCTAGACATTGAATACTCTGTCTGAGTCTAGTATTTTCGTAGTGAGAACTAATTCTAATTAGAATGTTGTTATTTTGAAACTTAATTTTTCCTGAAGAATAATTGAACTTTTTAACTTGATTTGCTAGAACTAGAATAATAATATCTTACAATAATTTAAATTGATATTTTTCCACCATAACATAAGTATTTTTGTAAAAATTATTGTAACACATTAACTATATATTCTCATTATATATTCTATACACAATCTTTTTGTTATAACAAGGAGGCCCTTAGTACAACTATGTTTTTATTTTCATGTATTAATTTATTCATTTCATTTATTGTACACACTCTTATATTGATAACTTGCATTTGGTCTTATAGATAAATAGATAGACATATGACATAGATATTAATACATTATGATAGTTTTAGTTTCATTTAGAGGATGAAACATCGAGCTTTGGTCTTGGGGCCACCTCTATCATACCTCTTGGAAGTTCTCACACTGGAGTTCTTGCTGGCTTTATTTCTATGATCAATGTCATGAAATGTCTTCTTCTTCTTCCTCCTGTTGACAACAAAGTATACTTTTGAATAAAAAGTGCCCAAGTTTTTCTTTTCTTTTTTATCAAACCGGGACTTGAGAAAATTGTCAAATTAACCGGATAAAATCCAAGTTAGTCTAGGTCATGTCGTAGTTACATAAAAATCTCTATCTTTGAAAACTCATTTAAAAAAGAAAAAAAAAAGTGAGAAAGAAAAGAATTCGAATCAGGCCAAGTTGAATGGTTTTGCAATTCTATAAACCCAACATAATTATCTTCCAACAAAAATGAAATTAGGTCAGATCCATATATAGGATTTACACATGCGTTGTCAATGTTAGAAACCAAGTTCAGATTCGAAGGTGGTCGAGTGAATATCAATCATAACACATACATGTTCTCTGTTTGCAATTGCACCGAGATGCCAATACCTTTTGCATCCTAACTTGGAAAAATAAAAAAATCATATAAGATGCTATCCACTTTATTCCTATCTTTAGTTTTGTGGGGTTGTTGTTGTTGTTGTTTCTTTTTTTTTTGTTTTTTGTTTTCCATTAATGAGTTGTTTTGACCACTTTTGACGACCCAAGTGCTTTAAACTCTGTTGGGAGCTTTATTCGATGAGGCGAATACGTAAGGAAAAGACAATGATCCCGACCACAATGAAGTGGAAATCGGGGATGTTCGCTCTGTCTCCAACTAATAATTTGAAGTAACGACAAAAGTTTTGTACCATCCACACACAAGCATCAAAGAGAGGGCACAATGAAAAGAATCCACACTAGAGTAGAGACTAGAGACTAGAGAGTGCTTCATTCCTACGTGTAATGTAACATGGGACGTCACGTGACCACAACACAACATTCTCTTACCATTATTTTCTCATTACTAAAACCTTAAATCAAAACAAGCTTGTTTCCAAAGAAAACCATTCCAAGCATCGCCCAATATTTGTGTTTGAAGTTGAAACGTTTACATCAACCCTCATGACTCATGACTCGTCCGTCGCCCAGAAAAACAAGACGTTAAAAATCAACAGCTATGTAATATACTTTTTAACCCCACTGTAGATAATAAAATAATTATAAATGTTGATTAAATCGATGGTTAAAATTTTGAAAAAATAACTTTGTACGCATAGACGTAAAATTGTTATATAACTGCATTAAATGTACTTAAAAAAAAAAAACTGTACAGCACTTTATAAACTTATAATTTTTCGATAAACTATATTTTTCATACGTTCCGATCAGGATTGACTGTAACCACGTACTTATCCGACAAGTTTATTTACATACAAGATTATCTACCGACTATATGACACCCTAATAATAAACATATGATTTGATTAAAATTGTGTAGTGCTTTCTCTAAAAAGATTATTATTAATTTTTTATTATTATAAAAAGACACTAAAGTTTATGATTTGTATTATCCAACTACTTTAGTTTGGTGTAAACCTAACCACTTTGGTGTAGAGGTACAATTGGGTAAATTGTCCAAAACGGCATCCAACAGTGGGATGCGAAGCATGAATTTCAAAACAAAACTAGTCCGTCAACGTTGACGATATCAAGATTCACTGAACAAATGCCCCGAAAAAATCATAGCCTCACATTGATTTCATCAATCACCATCATTCCTTGACAAAATTTAAACTATATTTTTAATATCTTCTAGATTTTGCAATAAAAACATATTTTCATGTGACATGAATGTTAAAGTACCGTATAAAACAGTTTTTTCTTCTTCATTCGGTGTTTGGAATCATAAAAATAGGTAACACATTTTCTCGGAAAAAAAAACATCGTAATTCAGTCACCTTAATTTCTATTTAAAAATAAATAATAAAAAAATGAATGAAAGAGCAATACTTTTATGGTATATTTGCATGAAAAAAGGGTATCAAAATAAAAATTTTGCCTTTAATTAATTATAGAGATAGAGAGGATCCTTCATTTTTTTTTTCTAAACAACTCGAGTCCTAAGGCCAAATCCACACAAATTTGGATAACGGTTTAAAATTACATTCAACTGAAAAATAAAGCTTGCAAGTAAAACTCTCTTTTTTTTCCCTACTCCAAACACGCTCTAACAAGCCAAACCTAACGTAGGATTCGTTATTCCTCTTCCAGGGTAAGATGCTACTTCGACCATGCAAAACATACTTCTATCTCTACCCCTCTTTCTCTCTCCTAGCTAGCTTTCACTTTCGTGTCATCTCTTTTAAACTAACAAATTTAAAGTTGCCAAATAATTTTTTTAACTTGTTAAAACAATTAAAACTCTTCTTTGAACTTCAATTTTAAAGTACCGTTTTGCCAAAATTAATATAATATATAACCGCATCCCTAACTTCACACTAAGGAGAAGGAAAGGCCATTAAGATTGTCTGATGTCGGACGTTAGATCATTGAACAATTAAAGAAAACACAATTTAGAGCATAACCATTTCAACGATTTAAACTCCAGTATTCAAAATGATGATAGAAAATCACATTGCAGAAGATATAAATATTAACAGCATTAGCCACCCACATGTAAAAAACACAAATCGCATCCAATTGTTCTAGGTTCATAATAATAACCAAAAAAGATGAAAAGTGGAGTATCAAAGCATGGTGAGACACAGCTAACCGAAGCTACTAAAACAAGGGACAAGGCAAACAAGTAGGATACTAAGGAGAAGCAGTAGCAATTAAAGCAAACAAGAAAATAGACACTTAACTAACAAAAGCTAATAACCCCAAATCAAAGATGACCTAATGGAAATAGAATTCTCATCAAAACTTATCTGCCCTGTCCCTCTTCTCTTTATATGCTTTTCAAATTATGGTTATGGTCGATTGGTCCTCACTTGGCCATCATGACTTTGACGAACTCCTCATAGTTGATCTGCCCATCTCCATCAACATCGGCCTCACGAATCATCTCATCAACCTCCTCATCTGTCAGCTTCTCGCCGAGATTCGTCATAACATGGCGAAGCTCAGCTGCAGAGATGAAACCATTCTGATCCTTGTCAAACACACGGAAAGCCTCCTTAAGCTCCTCCTCTGAATCAGTGTCCTTCATCTTGCGAGCCATCAGGTTCAGGAACTCAGGGAAATCGATGGTTCCATTGCCATCAGCATCAACCTCATTTATCATATCCTGCAGCTCTGCCTCAGTTGGGTTTTGACCAAGTGACCGCATCACAGTCCCAAGTTCCTTGGTAGTAATACAACCTAGAGCATGTTACAAAATAGTTAAACACAAAAAAGATAATGATTCATTCAACCTCACGAGAAATGCAGGAAAGAATTTTGTTAACGTGAAGGAACGTAAAATAACACAAATCCAGTTAAAAGGAAAAGATAACTAGCAGCAGCGACATAAACATGAAAAGTGATGAACCAATGTAACATTGAATCAAAGGCACACACGAGTTAGGCAATATAATTCTTGACAAGTTATCAAAATATGATAACCCCCATGTGAAGATATTAAGTGTATGCATGGGAGTTGGGGTTTACCTATCGATTGAAACACACAACAAAAACAAGCTACAAAATGTTACAATGGTAAAAATATCCAGAAAAAATGAAAACCATATTCCAAAACCAAAAATTAAAGCACAGAAAAAATCTGGCTATTAGAAACCATGTAATCAATCCAATCCTTAAAAAGATCCGGACATGAAACACAATCACACCTTACTTCTGTTGCCAAAACAAACATGCACACTTGTGACTCCACAAATCACAGAAAACTCCTTGGAAAACAGATCCTCATTTCAAATGCACCAAGGAATAAAAAATGCTCCAAAAGTATAAACACAATGTTACAGATGTCAATAATGCTAATTCCACATTCTGATAAAAAATACACATGTCTTATCATACACCAACCCAACAGAATGACACCAACAGATCCACAACCCAAAACAATCCAACAAGACATTTGATGGAAATATTCCATTCCCAGATGTCACCAAAATAGAAACCCCCAAATTAAACGCAACATATACAGCCTCAGAATCCCACCAAAGGAATCTATCCCACATTCAACTTCACAAATCACAACCCAAAACACCAAATTCCACATCCACAAAAAAACCACCCCCGATTTCCGCCACGTGCATCAAACAACGACAAATCAAACCCCAGTTCAAAATCCAAAACACGCTAAAAGTGCATCTCCAATCCCAATTCCAATCCCACGATCCACGATCCTCGATCCACATCCACCCACACCCCAGAATCATCACACCCCAAACACCGCCACATCAAAGAGGCACAAAACCACGAAAAGCAAAGAAATTTCAACACCAACGCCCAAAGGGTCAAACACAAAGGAAACCCTAAATCACCCAGAAAACTTTCCAAAATTCAACCACCCCCACCCCACAGAAAATAATAATAAAAAAAAAACCAAAGGGCGCACGCAAACAACAACGGAACATACATCAAGAAGAAACGAATTGCGTAAATCAGATCTAAGAAAGTCGCAAAATTTAAAAAAAAAAAAAAAAAAAATTGAAAAAATAAAAAAAAAAAAACCAAAGGGCGCACCCAAACAACAACGGAACATTCATCAAGAAGAAACGAATTGCGTAAATCAGATCTAAGAAAGTCGCAAAATTTAAAAAAAAAAAAAAAAAAAGTAAAGCGAGGGTTAGAGAGGGATCTGAGGAGAGAGACCATCGCCGTCCTTGTCGAAGAGGCTGAAGGCCTCCTTGAACTCGGCGATCTGGTCGTCGGTGAGTTGGTCGGCCATTGGAGGAGAGAAAGGGGCGTTTGGGAAGCGAGAAACTGAGGGAAAATGAAAGAGAAAATGAATGTGGAAAACTATAACTTCACCATTGGGTATATATAATATATATATAAAAAAATATAAATATGTAATATATTCCTTACACTCTGTTTCTGGGTCCGAAACTCCCCTTTCCCATTTTACTATTAAATAATTTCTCTCACTTTCTCATTTATGCTTTCAAAACTTAAAGTTAACAACTTTTTTTATTAAGAGAAATAAACTACTAATTTGGTCTCTCTGGACACTATCTTATTGAGGCATATTTAGTTAACATTTCAAAGGATTTAAATTATTTTTTTTAATTCGTCTGATATTTTATCAAGACTTTTTTTTTAATATATAAAGGTTTTATGATATTAAATTTAGATGATTAGAAATTTATAGGAATATGTTAGAATTTAATGGTATTCAATTTTTTTAAGAGTTTTATGACACACTAGCGAAGTTGAGGTTCATGTCTCTCTATATATTTTATCTTAGTATTTAAAATAACTCATTTAAACTAATTTTACATTATTTATATGATTATTTCGATCCAAGTACATATCTATTTTATTGTAATATTGTAAAATTTTAAATATTTTATCATGTTTTGTTTATTTTATGTCTTTATTGTTTTCTTTTTAATAAATATAATTTAGTTTTTTTTATATTTATTTTATATATAACAATGGTATAAGTATATTAAAAACTTTAGACTCTACTTAATTATATTTGTAAGCATGGATTAACGTCTATATATATATATATATTTGTATATATTTTATGTATAATATGATGTTTTGCAATCATAAAATTTTCTTAATAGGATGACTAAATAATGATTTCACTTCATGATAATTTTTAGCTTTCCTACGATTTATGAAAGAAAATAAATGTCATTTTGTTATTATTCTTAGTTAACACTAATATTAAAGAAAAAACATATCAAAATTAATAAATGATAAAATTGAATAGTCTCACACCTTTTGAGAATAAATCTCAATTCTTTATAGAATACATCATTCATATTTTCTTTGAGTTTAAAATACTACAAAAAAATAAATAATACAATGTCATGTATCATATGAGATATTTAACATTTCATGTAAATTTTTATAGTTTATGAAAGAAAAACCACAACCTCAAAAATGGAAATATTTTGTGTTGCATGAAAGTTATCCATATGACAGGTATTACTTGATCTTGTATTTTAAAGTGTCATAATATTGTGAAAAATATGAGTTATAATTGATTTAAATGAAGAAATGTTACAACTATATTTTTATATCTATCAAATTGTCACATGTAAAATATTTTCATAACCATATTATTATATTACCTTTCTAATTTTTGAGACAACAATTCTTTTTTCACTATTTTCCAAAGTTGAGTTATTATCTACTATTACGGTAGAATTCCATCCAATAGAATATACTTTTAACTGGTGAACCTGCAATAAAAAAATTTAAAATTAAATAAATAATCAATAACAGAATATGAAGATGTCATGTTTAAATTAAATTTAACCTTGATGTCAATTAGGCAAATTATTGAGAGTAAATATTGGTCCTTCCAAATATTCCATATCTTTTCAAAGTCACCCTCCTAGTAAATATAAATAATATTATGAAAAATAGATGATAATAAAGTTTCATAATAAAAGTAAATAAATATGTTATCACTTACGTGTTTGTCAAAATACATGTTCAAATTCTTTTTATTAATTTCTTTATATATTTGAAAGATCTTCTTGAATCTTAATTTGACTGTAGAAAAAAATATGAAATAAATTTTAGCTTTTGTATATCATCATCAAATATTTAAATCCATAAATCCACCATATTATAGATTAAAAAGGGTAATACCTAATTTTTTGATAACAAAATTTCTTTGAAAACAACATTTTTTGTAAAGTTTTCATCTTCCCCTTCAAGTTTTCCTTCTTTAATAAGAATTTTTGTTGAAGCTTGAAAACATCTCTTGACAAAGTAACATATAATTGACCATGACTAAAAATATGTCTTGGAAGATAAATTCTAACATTGGGTATTATTTGTCCCTATGACTTATTTATGGTAATTGCAAGACTTAGTTTCACATGAAATTGTTTCCTAATAAGCACAAAGGGAAGTCCTTTTCTGTTGTCTTATGTTTAATCTTGGGTAGAAAAGCTCTCTTTCCAGCATTATGACCTGTTAGGATTTCAACATCCAATATGTTCGTAAAGAGTCCACGACATAGTAACCTTGTTCCATTACATAAGCCAGCTTTAGGGTTTATGTTTCGCAACAACATCAACGATACACCTTTTTTAACCTTCATATTATATGGTGGCAAACCACCTAGAGTAATAGAGTGCAAGTATTCTTATTGATATAAGTTGTGCGTGTCCCCTTCAACCTCGTCAAATGATAACAAATCACGTTTTTCTCCCGAAAAATTACTGATGATAATGTCATTAAGTTTTTCAACATCCTCATTTTTTGGTGTTAGTATGACTTTTTCTACCATATAAGATGCATCCCATGTATGAGATTCTAATTGGGGAAATGTATCACGAATAAGTTTTTGTATTGTATTTTCTCCTTCCTATGTTATTTTAATTTGGTGAGGTACTTTTACCATATCATCACAGTTGGTAGGTTCAGTATCATCTCCAATGCGCATTAGATATTATGCATAATTATGATCTTACAATGATCACATGTTTTGTTGCAAATGTAAAACCTTTGTGATAGGCCATAAATGAGACTTAACAATACATGCATATATGATTTGTGCCTTAGTACCCTTTTGAACAACAAGAAGTACTTGACGAAAATCCCCTTCCAATATCATAATTTTACCACCAACTGGAGCATCACAATCTAGAATATCCTTTAATAATCTTTCTAATGTTTCCAAAGCATATTTATTTGTCATGGGTGTTTCATCCCAAATGATTGTTGTTGTTTCTCTAATTAGTTTGCAAGATCAAACTGTTTACTTATTGAACAAAATAAATCTTTCTCTACATTGATTGGTATCTTAAATTGAGAATGTGCAGTTCAACCACCAGGTAATAGTGTTGCAGCTATACCAAATGAGGTAGTTGCTAAAAAAATTTGACCCTTACTTCTCAATTTTGCAATTAAAGTGCGATAAAGGAATGTTTTACCTGTTCCTCTTGATCCATAAAAAATAACTCGACTTTTTTTGTTGTTGATAACATCCATATTGGTATTGAATGCAATTAATTGATCAATATTTAATTTCTGCACAGATTTCACATCTTCATTATCTACTTGGATAGATAACTCTTCTTGTATAACCCTTGGCATCAAAGAACTTTGAGTATTTTCCATTGTTATTGTTGGCAAATCATAATCTGTGATTTGTTTTCCATGTTGAATCAAAAGGTCATTCAAATCCTTTAATAACATGTTAATGATACTTGACCCCGCAACAACACTTGTTGAAGGATAATCTTCCATCATGTAGGTCTAAAAATCATCCCAGAGTTGTTTAACATTGGTTGGTTTACAAAAAATTAATATAGTGACAAACAAATTCCTTAAAGCATAAGGCATTCGTAGACTCGATGCCTCAACTAAGCATTCATGAACTATCATCACTTTCTAAAAAGTCCCAATGCTCAATCGTTTTCTTGAATGTGGTAAAACATGCTCCATTGGGTGAAAATAAGTCTTCCCAACTCAGTGGACCTTTTAAATGAGATAATAAAACACGTAAGTAGAATTTTTCTCTTTTCGAAGGAGATACTGTATAAATCCTATTGATGACTTTCTTTTATGACCTTCTTCGGTACCATTCCTTATCCCCCTATGCCAATAATAATGTTCTAGAATCTCTCTATGCAAATAACTCCTTGAATTTGGATCTCTGCGATTTAGAGAAAAGAATTGTGTCAACATTGTTTTGGAGTTATGGTCATTGTTTAGAACATCTGTGATTCTTTGATACTTATAGAACCGCACTTGATAACAATTTGGTAAGTGAATTTGTAATCTTTCAACTGATGGATATATTTGATAAAGATTAAATCTAAATATCTTCCACAAAGCTTTTGGGGTACAAATCCATCTTGCATTAATATACTGTTGAACCTTATCTACATTTGAACCTCTACAAACCTCCATTGCTATTTGATCTGGGCCTTTGTAGATATATTTATATAAATATTTAATACTTTTGATGCTACTGCATACTTCAACATTTATATGGCAATTGTACTTTAAAAGTTGAAGAGATTGTCGATGACTCAATTCCTCGGCCTCATTTACTTCATTAACTAGACTTAAAATTTTCTTATATCTAGTTGTAACAATGACTCTACTTCCCAATCCCAACAAATCAAAATATTTAATTAGATATTCTAGGTCAAGTGACATCAAGTGTTTTAAGTGTCTTAGAAGAGGACATATTGCTTCTCAATGTCCTACAAAGAAAACCATGATTTTAAGAGGCCAAGATCACTATAGTAGCCTTGATGAAGCTACTTCTACTTGTAGTAATGAAGAAGAAGCCATAGATTCCAAGGAAGAAACTTTACCTTGTGAAGGAGACTTGTTAATGGTTAGAAGGCTCATTGGCAATCAATCTTGTGAAATTGACCAATCTTCAAGGAAGAACTTATTTCACACAAGATGAAAAGTTTTTGAAAGCACTTGTTCTCTCATTGTAGATAGTGGGTCTAGTTGTAATTGTTGTAGCACTAGATTGGTTGAAAAGTTAGCCTTAACTACCATACCTCATCCTAAAACTTACAAATTGCAATGGATAAATGAGGAAGGAGGTATTGTAGTTAACCAACAAGCAAACATACCAATCTCCTTTGGCAAATGATCAAGTTTTATGTGATATAGTGCCATTGGAGGCTAGTCATATTTTTCCTGGGAGGCCATGACAATTTAACAAGAAAACAATTCATGATGGTCTCTGATGGAACTACTCGGAGAAGATTGATGAATCTTCAAGTGCTCCATTCCAAGACCTTTAAAATCTTGAGGTTGACCACGAATTTGGATGAGAAACTCCTTTGAAGAAGCTTCAATGGAGAAAAATCACCAAAGAGGTTCGTGAAAGAGTGATGAAGCTTGTTGAACAAGCTAAAAGGTTGGAAACCTTTGAGAGAAACTTAGAGAGAAAGTTTCTCCATGAAATTTAGGACTTTAAGAGGAGAGAATTTGAGTCAAATTCTGATTTCATATCTCAAAAAGTGAAGTACAATGAGCAATTTAGAAATATATAGGGAGAGGTAGCTTGTAGAGGAAGCTAACCTTAACCATGGTTCACTAGGAACCATGGTAAGGTGTAGCTAACCATCCATGGTTTCTAAAACTTGTAGGAGAAGCTAACCTTGACCATGGTTCACTTAAGAACCATGGTAAGGTCAGCCAAACCTACTAAGGTTTAGAAGCTTGGAAGGAAAGCTTCAAAGCTTGTAAGAGAAGCTAGAAATTTTGGCCAAGAATAAAAGGAATGAGCTAGGCGGGCAAGGCTCAAAAATGCTCCATGATTTATTTCAAAAATATTTGATTTGGTTTAGTTAGGTTCATCATATGATGATGAGACCTAGCTAAATCAAATCTATGAAAAATTAGGAGCAAAATGAGTCTAATATGCAAAATTTTGCCTAGGCCCAGTTCTGGCCCAATTACTAGTCACACCCTCAAGCATTGCTAAATGCCACCCCTTTTTCCCTACTGAAAAAATATAAAATGAATGTATCAACAAAGGAGGTTAAATGGAGTTAAACTCTCCAAGTAACCCACCCTAAAATCAATATACAATCACTAGTTAAAAGCAAGTAATGTGCCTCACAAATACAAAGGCAAAAATAAGCCTATACAAAGAGACTACTATATGTACAAACATATGAAAGGTCTTTAATATCATCCCATTCCTCTTTGTTCTTTTAAGATATCACCTCTTGGATTCCTTGGTCTTGGCCATAGTCTATCAGTCTCACTAATAAAATAAGTTTCCAACACTTAGGAAAGAAGCTTGTGTTGTGTCCTCTATCACTTTCTCAAGTGAGTAAGGACCAAATCAAAATGAAAGCTAAGAGAGAAGAAGAAGAGAAAAAAAAGCAAAAACAAAAATAAAATAAAGAGAAATAAAAGTTGTAACACCCCGAATTTTCTATTAATATAATGTTGATTATTATTTATTTTTGTATAGTTATTTTAGTTAATTAAAGGGTTATAAAATTTTTGTAAAATTATATTTTTTTACGCCGGAACGGGCTGTTCCAAAAATGGAACGGGCCGTTCCAGACGAAGAAAAGATACTATTTTTGGAGCAGTAGAACGGGCCGTTCCAAATGTGGAACGGGCCGTTCCCAAAGGGAAACGGGCCGTTCTGAGATTTTAAAAATGCCAAAAAATTTGTGTTAGAAATTGGGCGTTCCAACTATGGTCAATAAGTGTAAACGTGAACCCTAGAACGGGCCGTTCTAATTTTAGAACGGGCCATTCTGCTTTGATAGTTTTCTCTAATTTTTTTCTTCCAATTCCCACGTAGCATCTCCAGTAACATCATTCCAGATGACCTTTACCAGTGAAATTTGTTTGCCTCTCAACTGCTTGATCTTCCTGTCTACGATCTGTATAGGCATTGTTTCAAATGTAAGGTTATCCTTTAACTGTACTGTATCAGGCATTATTACATGAGATGGATCAGAAATATATTTTCTTAATTGAGACACATGATAAACATTGTGAAGATTAGAAAGAAAAGGAGGTAGAGAAATTTGGTAAGCAACAGGACCTATTTTTCTGAGGATTTGATAAGGACCAATAAATCGAGGTGTGAGTTTCTTTGATTTCATTACCCTACCAATACCAGTTGTTGGTGTAACTTTCAAAAATACATGATCACCTTCCTG